TACAAAAAGTAGGGCAAAACCTAAAGTGAGCAGAAGAAAGAAAAGAATAAAGGTAAATGCAGACGTCAACAAAATCGAAACAGTTAAACAATAGAAACAACCAATGAAACAAACAGTTAGTCCTTTGCAAATATTATTGAAATTGATAAAGCTAGCAAGACTGACAAAAATAAAATGAGAATTTAAAAATCACCAGTATCAAGAATGAAACAGGGTATCACAACATATCCTGTAGCTATTAAAAGGATAATACATACTGCTAACAACTTAGATGAAATGGACACTTCTTCAATTACCACAAACTACCAAAAGTCAGCAAAGATGTGATAGTCTGAGTAGTCCTATAACCGTAATTGAATTCATAATTAAAAAGCTCTGGAAATTATCTTCAAATATAAAGTAAACAATAATGTTTCCAAAAATCTCCAGGCCCAGATGGTTTCACTGGAATATTCTATCAAATACTTTATCACCGATTTTACACAATTTCTTTCAAAACTGGTTAACCAAGAATTTGCATACATATAAGCATAACCCATACACACAGACAATAGTGTGGTGAAGGCCTGGGGTGTGGGCTAGAAGGAGTCAATGGGGGAGGAAAGGGGACAACTGTAATACTTTCAATAAAGGTAAATTTTTAAAAATTAAAAGAGAAACACTTCCCAATTCATTTTATGATGCCAGTATTATTCTGATACCAAACCATGATTTATCATCCCCAAAAGCCCATTTATAAATGCATATAGGACCTTACCCATTTATAAACGTGTATAGGACCTTACAAGCACATTTTAGTTTCTTTTAGGATATGGCCACGATTTTGGAGAGCCAAGAATGACGCTACATATATTTCCTTTTAAGTGGAGTTGGAGACACTATCTTATAGGAATTCTCCCTGCCCTTTCCAATGTATGATTTATGCATAAATGTTTCTGCCATCTGCTGTTGTCCAGCTCTGGGAAGTCATGTGGAAGCTCATGGTGCATTGGGAAGCAAAAGTCCAGGTTCCTGATATGTTCTGTTCTTAAGCCAACTTATGCATTTGAATAATTAATTGTCATCTGCTTCTGTAACATGGGCCTGGTTATTTAGTTCCAACATGCACGTTGCTATGTGCTCATCCATGCCACCAATAAAGACAGAACCAGTAACTGTGCTTAAGTTGTTACCATGAAGTGGTTAATGAACACCTGGCTGCTCCTTTCAACTCATCAACCTTGGGACCCAGAGTAACTTATTCCACCTCTCCGAGCAACAGTTTACCTGTCTGTAAAACAGGGGTGCCAATAGCTGTATTTCCCTTATAATTTTGCGGTGGGGAGTAAACATTGCAATGTTGATAAACACTAAGTACAGCAACTAGCCCATAAGAGATCCTGATATCATGGTGGATATAATTATTGCTAACATTTCTATGGCTTTAAAGATGTTATTGATTAAGAGTAAAAACAATGAGTAGCGGCAGCTCGTCCTAGGCTAACACCCTGACTCTGTTCCCAGGCCTCCTTTTCTCTGACTTCTTAATGAGCCAAAGCAGTCCAACCTAGGCCCTTCCTTGTTTCACTGTCCCCAGTTTTAATAAACATTTTATAAAAAAAGTAAAACCATAGCGACAAAGCTGTTAACTAAAAGCAGTATAATAATTGACTACTAAGATGGACTGAAAGGTTTGTCCTCAGCACTTCATTTCAGTATCTGGCCACTGAGCAAAATCTCTTCTCCAGTAAGACACTCTCACATCCAAATCTTTCAAAGCCAGAATGATTTGAAAACCATAGTTGCTGTTTTTTTAGTTCTAATCTAACTGCCTTTCTATGGAGTCTTGGATATCAACAATTGCCTCATAAAGAAAATTGCCACCTCCTCCACTGTTGTGAGTACCTGCTAATGCCAAATTGGCAATAATCAATTTCTCCATTAGAGACATAAAAATTAAAGGTTTTACTTTTCCTCACATAGGTAGCTACAAAGTTCAAATACCATTTTACATGCCTGCTACTTAATTTCTCCAAAATTTTTAACATTCACGGCCTTTATTTATAATCATCACCAACATAAGCTGCTCCTGCCACATGCTTAGCACCTTGATCACCCATTCGCAGAGTAAAGGGTTCAAAATCACCCATAGAAGGCTCTTATGACCCCCCAATGGTCCTCAGTGTCACTTAAGTGTCCTATTAATCAATTATGGAACATCCAATTCACTTTCTAAAATTCCACTATGGATACTGTTCAGGCTTTAGAAAGATGTAGTAACTTACAGCAATTTCAGGGACATTTTCTATTGTAATTAAATAAAGATTAAGAATGATGCCAAGAAGCAAATTAGGATTAAAATCTCATTTGGCTTCAGCTGACATAACCTTGTCTAGTTCTAATGCTTAATCACATGATAGCTGGATTTGCTATGCTACAATCTGGTGTCTGTGCCAGTAGAAGATGGAAAGAGTCAGATCCAGGATGCAAAACTGTAGGAGACAGGAGGAAGGGTGAGGCAGGGCACTGGGGTGTGCCATGCCAACACTGGTTCAAGGTCAGCTTAAAGACAGAGAGGGCCTATCTTTGAGCTCCTTCAAGAAATGTTTTTATAGTTATCCAGAGAGGCTATGTCCTCCATGAGATAACCCACTGACAAAGAGTTGCTCCCCCAAACAACTCTGCCAATGTCCCTTTGGAAAGTCTCAGCCAGTGTCACTGAATCAGCAAAAGGGCTGCCACCTATAGGACCGGGAACCGCCATGCGTTGTCACAAGGCATTGCATGAGTGGGGTCCTGGATTTTATTAGCAGAGGTGATTCTCAGAGAGGTCAGGGGACATCATCTGCCTCCCCAAACATTCAGCAAATTCAACACCGCAGTGGGAACTGCACTGGATTTTAGGTCTGCTGTCACCTGTGATGACCACAAGAACTAGTTGCTCAAAGGTCTCGTTCCACGTGTGTATACTGATGTTTCACTTCTGGAGGAAGCACTGTTCATGTTATCATTTCTCTCCTCTCACCTCCCCAACCACCCACAAGACCACATTCGCTGCCACTCACTTCCTTCATACCTAAAGCACTTGCTTCTATTTCGAGCATGATAGTGCTTCCCAGGGCATTCTTCTAATCGCAATGTCATTCTCTCGCCTTGGGGTGGCATTTCCCTGATGAGGGGGGAACACGGGACTAGTCAAAAGCACCAGGCTGCCACGGAACATGGTCTAGTGCTCTCTGAGATGGGGAGGGCTTCTGCGTCCCTAAATTCTCTCTCTCTTGTAAAAAGAGATCACATGTTCTAAGGAAACCTGAAGCTTGCTCCTAACCGGAGTCTGCTGCCCAGTTAACACATCCATCCAACTTTCTCAGCCCCTCACATGGACCCAGAGATTACAGGTTTCATGGGATCCAGAACATTTGTAACCACATTCCTATACATCAACTACACTCTAACACAAGACTGAAATATCTGTGTAGAAAACTGTCGTACAATGGCACGAAACGAAATTCAAAAATATTTGTATAATTAGCAATATGCACCTTTCTCCTCCTAAAGTCATTAGGAACCAAAAGCAAGACTTCACCATGGCCTTTGGACCAATAGCTAGAAAATTATGAATAAGTTAATTCTTTGATACACATTAGCCAAAGAAAATAAGGTAGTGCAGAATGCAAACAACACATTACTGTAGTATATATTGAAACGGATAACACAGTTACCACCAGATGATAAACTTTTTCCAACACTCAGAGAAAAATGTACCAAATGCTCTTTTTAAAAACAACTAAGCTTTTGAAACCTTTCGTTTTCTTATTACTGAAAAGGTATAACGTCAATTCAGAGGTCAACAGAGAATGTTTCCCAAACTGGCACAGTGTTGCAACAAGACAGCATCTGGTTGGATGCTACACGTTTCCCTAGTTCCTCTCCCACAGCCTTTAAATGGCCACGAGGCGAACTGAAGACCACACGGCTCTCCCAAACACAGAGGAACATAAACATTGCTCCAACCTGACAGAATGCTGCCGGTGTCAGCGTGAGTGTTGTTGGGATAGCTGTTACGGGTCTCAACCCTCAGCAAGGACTATACTTCCTGTCATAGCTTATAACAATGGCACATCTTCTGTGTGTGTCACACACACAGCTGTAGCTATTATATACACCCATTGAGTGCAGAAATCCGGTGACAGACGACGGAGCAGGCATGGATGAGCAGCCCTGGGGGGGCACTGCTCTCATAGGACCTACTTACGGAAGGAAGGCAGGGTCCCCAGTCCGGCGGTCTGGTCTTCAGCATGACAGTGAGCCCTGCGGTGCGGTCAGCAGGAGGGACAGACACCTCCCCCCAGCACCGGTCCCTCAGCCCTGCCAGGCCGCTGCTGCTCTCTGGGTCCCGGCATCCCGTTAGGAGTGTGACACAGTAGGGAAAGAGACCGGTTCACTGTGAGACCTGCTACTCACTCTCGTACAGTGCATCGGCCCCCCTTCCCACTGCACAGTGGCTGCCGAGCTCCGGCCGGAGGCGGGTGGCCCTCGGGACAGGGCGCCGCGGAGTCAGAGTTGCACCGGGACACAGCCTGCAATGCCAGTGGCCTCCTTCTAGAGACAGGGCTTTGCAGGGCGGGATAGCAACAACCTGGCGTGGTCCCCTAGCCTTAGAGACTGGGGAGGAATTCTCTTTAAGTTGAAATAGAGGAAAAAAATAAAAAGGTCTGAACTAGGAAGATAGGGGTATGGTTGTCTCTCTGCTTCAAAATTAACTAAGAGGATTCCAGACTCGTTGGTGGAGACTGTGCTTAGCATGCACGCCTGGGATGCTGAGTGAAGGGGCTTCACCTTCTGGTACCTGTTACTTTCCCCCACAGAGTTAATCAAACGCCCCGTTATCTTCCCCGGGAAAGGGCAATGAGCTGGTTTAAATCGCTGCACTTGAATATTCATCCGGAGGGGACAGCTGAGAGATTTACGTGCAAAAGGAAGTGGGTTAGAGGAGGAGATGGGAGACAGATTCCAAGTACCTGCTTGCTGTGCTGTCTGCGGCAGCTGCTGGCCCCTCTGAGCACTGTACTGAACCGAGGCCATGGGCCGGTACTGCTGCGTGGTTGAGGTAGGGTACTGACCAGACGGGTAGTAATATATGGGCATCTGGGGGAGAAAGGAAAAAACAGCAGGAATGACAACTATATATTAAGTTTTTTAAACGTAAAATATATTGTCATCTTATGTCATACTTGTAGTAGATTATAAACACAGCCGTCAAAATCTTCTCCAAGTTTAGGCGGGTGTACATGCTACCATCCCATGAAGAGGGGAAATCGATTTCCCACGCCCTTGAATCTGAGCTGGCTCTGGGCTGTAGTATATTCAGCCCCACGAGGCTGAAATGATGACTTTGAAGACCCCTTGAGAAGACTTGCAGCTCCCACTTTCATGGGAGGAGCGCCCAGACACCAGGACAAGACTTCCGGCCACCCAGCTGGAGAAGACCGGGGGCGAGCAGAGGCACCCCCGTCAACAGGCTACACCAACGTTCTAGGCATGGGGGTGAGGCCATCTGGATGTTCCAGCCCCGGTCATGTCGCCCCAGCCAATGCCATGTGCAGAGAGAAGAGCCATCCCTGCTGAGTCCTGTTCAAACTGCTGACCTAGTCGTGGTGGTTGTTTTAAAACACTGAATTTTGTGTTTTATCAAAATGAAACAAGTATACATGACAAGTCAGATAAAACTGACCTTCAAGGTATAAAATTCTCTGCATAAGTTTAACATTTTTCCATGTCTGCCCATGGACTGCATCTCAAGAGTTCTTTTCATTGGTCCATAGATGAGTAATCAATTTTAAAATGTTTACTAAAATGATTTAAAATCACTATGGGTTATAACCTATACTTTCATCTTTATTTCTTCTAAAATAGAAATTCATGGATGTCCAAACTGATCATGAATAATGAACACCTGTTTTGTTTTCCCCATTCCTCTTTCTATTTTTAAGTCTATTGAAGGGGGAATAAAATGATTTCTGTTGCAGACATACCAGGGGCTCTGAGCTGTCTTTGCTCTAGCTGTCCACTAACTGAAATTCCTTCATGGAGGAAGGACTTTTTTTTGAAATCCTTCAATTAAATATTCTTCCATCTCTTCTCTTTGACAGCAGAAATGGGTCAGAACACTTCTATGCTATTTTATAGTAAAGCATAATTATATACTACATAATTTTCCCAATAATTATGCTTAAAGTATTTAATTTGTTAGCAAAATAATTAATATATTAAGGAAGCCCGTTCTCCTATAACTTAAAATTATTTTTCACATCTCCTTAAATCCTATTAGCAAAAAGATATCCCGAGAAGGCAACTGAAGATGAACTATTAATCACTCAAAGTAAAATGAACATCTGAGTGAAAATTATTTCATGGTGGAGGGTTTTGCATGGCTTGAAAAGAAAATTATTTATTCAAGATATAATGGCGGTGAAACAAATGATAAGAAGTTGACACCTTACTTGAAGCAGCTCATCCAATACAATATTTCATAATTAGGATGGAATTTGCCTGAGATGTGTGTGCCTTGAAAATGGACCAACAAATGCCTCTCTGCATTTCACATCTTGACAGTAATCACTTGCAATATTCTGCAAGGGACACCCAGGAGAGCCCCCGAGATGTTTGGTGGTGAACAGCAACACATCATCAGTCTTTGAGAAGACAGTAAAAATCAGTGATCTGTGGCGTCATACATGCTCCAGTCAATTAAATATGATTAATGGCTACTTGTGAGAGCACCAGTGAGCTCAGCTTCCCCCTGGAGAAAGGGAAGGACACAGTGGATGCTGGCTTAGCTTCCGCCTTTATGTTACCGAGGAGCTCCTGCCTAGAGCACCAGGTTTGCTCCAGAAAATGCTTTGAATCCACAAGAAGGGAAAGAATGAGCTTGGCCGGCATGGCTCAGTGTTTGAGTGTCGACCTGTGAATCAGGGGGTCATGGTTCAATTCCTGGTCAGGGCAAATGTCTGGGTTGTGGGCTCTATCCCCAGTATGGGGCATGCAGGAGGCAGCCAATCAATGATTCCCTCTCATTATTGATGTTTCTCTCGCTCTCTCCCTTCCTCGCTGAAATCAAAAATATATTTTTAAAAAAATAAGGGAAAAGAATGAATTTCCAAAGCAGCAGCAAGAGAACACTCAGCACCCCTCCCCCCAGCAGGCTTCCTTCTTGCCCAAGGCTTTCCCTTCCTAGGCAAGCCCGTGAGCAGGACGCCCCAGGGAAGGGACTGGCTCCGGGTGGCCTCTGTACCAGCGGGGTCTGGAGAACAGATGTTTCCCACTGTAACATCATGGCCATTTGGGTCAGTTTCATTGAACTTCCTTCTTGAGCCCCAAGTCTTTGCACAAGGACAGACCAAGCCCTGCAGTTGGGGAATACACATCTGGACCAGAAGGACCTGGTGATACTCCACATGGAAAGATAGGGGTCCACGTGCACTACAGGTCAACTACATACAGGTCACAGGTGTGAGAAAAAGCATGCTCACCTGTGCAGGTGGAGGCTGTTGCACAAATCCCTGTGGGGAGGGAGGGGCCTGGAGGACTTGTTGAGAGATGGAAGGTCCAGAGCCTGAGAACCCGCCTGTGGGGAGCTGTTGGCCCGTGGAGGCAATGACATAGCTGGGCTGTTGGTTAGGCTGTGGCATGAGGGATGGTGGGTAGACAGGGCCGGATGGGGGCTCAGGGGTCTCTCCTGAGGACTGCCTGCTCAGGTTCATCTGACCGAACTGTGTTGCCACGTCTTCTCTCTGCAAGACACACAAATTAAGGAGGAAATCAGCAAGATCGGCTTAGGAATGGGAGAGGCAGACACAGGCCACATGCTTGTCCCTGTGGGAGAAGCAGGCAGTACACATTGAAAAAAAAATGAAAGGAATTTGGGGTCCAGAACAAGAGAACATACCAAGAGAAATCAGATTTAATCATCCCAAGGGACAAGATGACAAACAATTTGACCCAAATTTCCCTCTTTCAGTGGAAACTATTTTTTTTTTTTCATTAAGGGCTTGGGCTCCTCAGGATGGTGCTGAGACAAGGAGGACTTGGTGTTTTGTCCTGAAGGGCCAGCTGGTCTTCCCAGCAGTAACCACAGGATCTGTCTCTGGGGAGAGGAAGAAGGACCCATGGTCATGGTCACCCATGGCTGCTGCAAAGATGGAACCAGGATTGGCACCACCAACAGGCTGGGTGGGACCCCATTTGTTTATTAGGGAGTCTTTACACACTGGCCTGGCCTGAGATTTAGTGGCGATGTTCACTGTAATTGTCCAGAAGGACCTAGTACGTGGAGGGAAAGTGAAGTGGAAGTTGGGGGATTGGGATGTGAGAGGAACAACTGTATCAGGAGCTGAGGGTGATGACGGTTACTATCTTGACACTGACTTTTAGATATTTCCAAACCGTCACACCAAGTTGATAAGTTTCTGTGTTTCTGACTTCTGATTCTGAATGCATTCAATTCCTGTTAGCTGGTAAGCTCTTTACAAAGGTACCAGATTGCAGAAGCACTCAACGTGGGGCAGGAGACAGAAAGAAAACCAGGATTTTGAAGATAGGTTGCAAAGATGGAATGAGACATTCTCTCTCTCTCTCTCTCACACACACACACACACACACACACACACACACACACACACACACAGTCATAGTCAGCCCAGGGCACCCACCCAGCATCAGCCAGCCCTACACAGGAACGTGGTAAAACCAAGAGAACATAAGCGGAGAAGTCAGACACACAGAAGTCCTACCATAGGGAACTGCTGCGTTGGAGACACAGGCAGGAGATGCTGGGGAGGAAAAGAAACTGCTGGATATTGCACTGACTGGGAGGAAGCCTGCAGCCCCTGGACAGACTGCGGAAAGAAAAAGTTGATCATTCAACAGGGAAGCATGGGGGTTGAAATCCCATCAAAGGCTGTCATATCTGAAGCTTACCACCACCACCCCCGCCCCTTACAGGTCCTCTTGGCTCCATGCACTCCGGAGAGGGAAGCCGGCCACCCGGGAAAGTGAGATCCATGCAGGGCAGAGGCAGGCAGCCTTGAGGGAGGCTCGTCTGCTCAGCGTGAACATTCTTGGCAGAAGGTGCTGCTACATTTTCATGCTGTTGGTTAGATCCCCTGGGTCTAAAAATATTGCCCCCAAAATACTGCATATCAGGACCTTCCCCCATGCAAAGATTTTGCTGTTTTTGAGCCATCTGGCTAAGCCAGATCAAAACGTAAGCAGAGCAATTTAAGCTGCAATAAAAAAAATCTACCACCTTCAGGGAGATTTGCCAAATAAATCTACCACCTTCAGGGACTGAGAAGGAAGGAAATAAATACTTAAAAGGAGGTTTGCTCCAGCAAACTGCCTGGAACACTTCAGGTTTCATGTGTCACCCTAGGGCCTAGGCAATGGAGGGCAGCTCTACGTCTCCAAGGCTGGTGTGAACAGCCAGGCCACCTTGGAATGAACTGATTTCTATTCTTCCCACTGATTTAAAATTGTAATACTGACTCTCTGCAGGCACGAACACTTGTTCTGTGTTGGGAATGGGTGAGCCAGCTGATACCAAGACCTGGGTGGGAACGTAAGTTCAGTTCCCAAGAAAGGCTCCCTGATACATAAAAGCAGCATCTGGACCTAAGAAAAAGCTCATCATGCATTCTCCCTAGTTCTATATCCTTCCCAGGTAAGTTATTGGATGGGGCATCGTTTCTGTCTAAACTTAAGGATCCAGGTAAGAAGATCCTGTTGACCTGCAGCCACGGACTCCAGGCTGCCAGGTTTTCCTTAGAAGAGGATGGAGGTGGGACCGATGGAGAATATGCCCCCTTCCTGGCGCACCGCTGCTCTGAAGGCCGCAGTCTCTGTCTGGGACCCCATCCCCCTGCCTCCCAACCAGCTCCTCACCTGAGGGACCAGCGGACCAGCGGGCTGTGGCTGCGGTGGCTGCACCTGCTGCTGCGGCTGAGGAGAGGGCTGCTGCCGGGGCTGCTGCTGGGCCGCTGGGCCGG